AAAATTGAAGATAGTGATAAATGACCCCTGACAAAGCAGAGTTTTGGTTTCAGGATTCTCTGTAGAAACCCTCAAAAAAAGAGGAAAGGAAATAACGTGTTTAGTTTTTTTTGTTTAGCTTTTCAATTACTACTCTCAGGTTCTGGAATGTAGAACATGGAAACGGACAGCAGTGCTATGAGCCACAGTGGGCAGGGAAGATGTGCATGGAGGGGAGAAGTGCGTTTCAACAATTAACTTCTAGTTTAGCAGCAAATCGTTATTGTTGAAAACTCAGAATTCTATCCAAAATGAGTAAAAAGGTGTTATGGGCAACAGATATTCCTGTATTTTCTGGTACCAACAGAAATCGTACTTTTAAACTGAAGTCACAGGATAATTGTTCAGTCTCTAAAGGATCTGTAGTGCAGTGTGAGCTATAAAATGTTGCCATAACAGTCGGTTGTAAATCTCCTTGACAGTTATGTCGGCAGCTCTAAAACTGAACTACTGAAACAGTGATACAATAATAATAAAAGCAATGCAACATAAGTCCTGCATGTACTAGATTTATGAATAGGATAGTCTTTCATGAAAAGGGCATAGAAACCCCAATTAGCTAGAAAAGAAAGATTAATAGAATTTTGTCAGTATCCAGCAATGTGAACTAGACAATGAATTATGCATTCCTTGAACTAATCTGATTCTTCAGTAATGTCACGTTAAAAAATTTGTAACCATACAATTTATACTTTGTTTCTGTATTTTGATGTAGTAAAGGAGATCATTATTAATATATCACTGCAGTGAGGAAGAAATAGAGAGAGAAAAAATAGGAAGAGTTGTCTACAAACAGTCTGATCAATAGCAAACATTAACAGGGCTTGTGTTTCTGTCCTACCAGCTTTCCAGAATACAAAGACATTGTTATACATACGTGTGTATATATATATACATATATATAGTTTTCTGCCTTGCTTTCTTCTCTAGAACATTGTTCAGAAGGTATTTAAGAAAGTTTTCCACCGAACATTAGTATACCAATAATTAGAACCTTTATAGTTATTTACATAGACCCTAAAGCTGCATTATGCTGTCAATCCTGTCATTTTCAGTTAGATTTAAATCAGGTTTAAGTTTAAATTAGGTGCTTGAAGTTAGAGAGCACCGTAAATATTTTGCATAACCGCCTCTTTATCATCATTGATCCAGTGAAGCAGACCAAAGTAATGGCAAATTTGAGTCAGAAATCATCGACCTCACTCTCTTTGTGTAGTGACTTCAGCACCAGACTGCAAGTGAGGAAAACTCATTCTTGTGGGCCACCTTTGAAGGCGTCATGAAACTTAGTAATGTTGACTGTGGCAAGAGATTGTGTTTCCACTGGATGGTCACATGAAAATCAAACATCTCTGGGCCTATATCATATCATTTAAATTATATTTGACAGGTCTGAATAAACAATTATATAAAAATTCTTCTAAAATTTAGCATAATGATAACTCAGCTTCCACTGTGGTTTGTATAGACAAAAGGTGGCTAAAAGTAATCACACAGCTCTATCAGTGCATCTCATTATCAATTTCTGACAGCTACCTCCTCATACTTCATCTCCTGATAGAAGAGGCAGACAACTAGTTCAGACTTCCAATTGTGCTATGCATAAGGGTGATTGTAGAGTTTGCATCAAACATCCAGTGAATCTCAGTTCTGATTGATTGCAACAGTGCAGTATGGATCTTAACCACAAAGGAGTTTAGACTAATCCGAAGTTCCAGTGAGAACAGAAGAGTCTTAGCCACGTCCTTCAAAAGGACAACTCAGATGAAACATTGCCCAATATTTGTCTGAGAGGGAGGAGTATAAATCTGTTACTTTGTATTTTTTTTTGCCAATCTCACTCACTTAGGAACACAGATCACACTTTCCCATTGCACATTAATATGAGAAAACAAGTTAATAGAAAAACACTATTCGTGTTATTTACAGTTTTCCCATCATAGCCCTCCCCAACACAGTCAGCATTAGCAGAACTGAATAGCTCAGTAAGACTGGAAACTCAGTACACAAGATGTAGTTCAGGGAGGTGTGGGAGGATTTCAAAGATATCCAAGACATAAGTAAATCTAAGATACAAGTAAGAGCAGCAACTGCCCCAAAAAATAACAGTGCAGAAACAGAGATTGTCCTGATAGAACAAAATTATGGTTGTGTAACATAAGAGTCAATAAAATATCATGCCAAGTTTGCTTTGAAGTAAAGAGAATATAGCAACTTCTACAGAGTTCTACCCTTACTTTCATGAAAACCGATGTGCATGAACCTGCTTTCATTCACCGACTGTCAGCAAGTGACTCATTTGGAAACAGCCATTAAAACCTGCAGGGGAAGAACTTCAGTACAGTGAATAGAAACATTTCCTTTACTGAGAGTTCATTCCTTATTACTGGAGATGCCCCATGAAATTAAAGAGAAAGTGCACGAGGAACAGAGGTTCCATGTTGGCAGTGACTGTCAGTTAAGATCTCACCCTCAGAGTTTCAAAATAAAACAAACATAAATATCACCTAGTACTTGAAGGATATGCATATCTGTCTACATATGTAAGTATGATAACTGGGGCAGGGGGTTGTTTGTTTTAGGTTTTGTGCTTGTGAACAACATCCAACTCATTTCAAAAGAAGTAAAGCTCTAGCACAGAACACTACCCCCACTATATTATCAAGGTTGCAGGAAATGACAGCTGATGAACATACATTCAGTGTTTTACAAGTGGTGATAAGCCATCAACCCAAAGGTTTTATTAATAACTTCTCTCAAACGTTTATGTTTTCTTAGAGGAAAAAATTTTGCACCATACTGTACTGTAGAAAAAGGATAAAAGTTAATTTCAAAACAAACTGTCAAGGGTTATGGTGCTAAAAGCATCACTAACTTTCACAATAAAATTAAGCTTTTCTGATATGAATTATGTTGCCACAGTAACCAGCAACCACAGAACCCGAGACCATTTTCTGCAGAATTCGTGTGACCTTGAGTTTAATCAACAGTGATGGTATTAATTTAAAAGCTGGAAAATAATAAAAAAAAGTATTCTGCCATTTTCTGAAAGTTAATAATTTCACAGCTGTGCAAAAGGGCTGTTCTTCTTCAATAGTGTAATTTTCTAATTTGAACTCCACTACTGTGAACACTGTCAGACACAGTGGTGTTATATTAACTTCACTGGAGTTGTCCTTAATTGCAAGCACAGCTGAGACATCGAGCAGTAAGATTTTGGAGGGCGAAGCTTTTAGCTTAGAAGACTTTGCACAAGATTTTATCTTCTATTTGTCAGAAAAAAAACCCCTCCAAATATAGCTGTGATGCTTCAGAAATGATTGTTAATATGCTTTGGAGAGGAAGATAGGGAGATCACTCGAGGGAGTTCTCCCTCAGTAGCTCCATATTTTCTCCCACACCCTGTAATTTCCACCCTGGGGAAGCTGACAGAGATTGGTTCTACCTCTGAAATTTCTGTAAGTAGGAAACTAAGTGCTATTAAACCCATGGAAGAGAAATTTGATGTTGAATTGGACTCTTATGCACTACAAATGGGAAAAATTAGGGGATGAAATGGAAATGCTTGAAGATAGACATTCAGCTATAAATGCTCAATATGATATAAAAAAAATCTAAGGAAGGGCTAATGTAAGAAATCCTTCTGCTCTGTTAAAAATAATGATATTTTATGCCATAAATTAGAGGCTCTAGAGAACCAGTGGCAGAGCAGGTGTTTTAGCATAAGTGGTGTTTTCAAAGGAAACGGTGACACTGAAGTAGGTTTCTGAGTATTCCACTTCCACAGTGTGGCAAAAAGTGCAGCCAGCCTACTGAACTTGCAAATAGTCATTCAGAAATGTGAGCTGCCTCACAGAAATCTGAGCTGCCTGGAAGAGTTTCTCTCTTCCAGCTAAGCATATTCAAATTTCACTGCTATTTCCTAAGTAGACTTAAACTTCTAAGAATCTTACAGTTGACTCAATGGGAACAGAATTTCTATTTTAGAATGGATTAAAACCACATCATACGTATATTTTTGTTGAAAGCAAAACTATTTCTAAGCTTTGTCAAATATGTTCCTTTAGGGGAAAAGATAAATTTTGTTTTCATATGTATTTTGTGATATAAAAGCACTTCTTTTCACACAACAATTAAAATGTAAATGGGATAATTTTTGAATGTAATATATATTGAAAAATATATTTTTTAATCTTACAAAAAGCAGAAGTAGTCTAGAAACATCTTTACAGCACCCAAGTGACGTAGGAGGTCAAGAGTTTTAATGTCTACTGAAAGAATGCAAGTCCTTAGTGATGAAATGGCTATTTCTACTGTCCCAATCTAGTTTTATTTCAAGACAGAAATTTTCATCCTTCCAACAATGTGCTCTATATTTCAAAGCTTCACAGCTATCCACACACCTTTCTTAATAGCAAGTAAACATAACGTGTCCTTACTCTGATAGGAAGGATAGATCATAGTAGTGATGCCTCAGGACTATTGGGATTTTTAACTTTTTGTACATTTTAATGTAGCTGTATAGTCTCTCACACTTTAGAACAGTAGTTAACATTCACCAAACCCTATTCTCCCATTTCATATCGAATTTTCTAAATTCTTTAGGCTTGTTTAGGCTTCTTTCAAGGCAGGACTATAGTAAACACATTCTGTTTAAGAACATTTGCACGCCAGGCCTGAAGAACAAGATACCATCATAGTCAAAGCAACCTTCAAGCCTGGAACCTTGGAGAAGCTCCAAAGACAGTACGTGCTGTGAAGAAGAGGAAGATGAGGAAGAAAAGGGTCTTAGGACCCCTGACTCAATTTCCAGGGAGGCATTCCTGGGGGGCAGATCTGGGGGTGGGTAGTTCTCGGATTGGAGCATAAATTGTGGAACCCCTGGACACGGGGAGTGGGCACCGTTTCTGTACTCCTTGTGCCAGAAGGACTTTGTTAAAGAGCTGTTCTGTATCTTATCTCTACTCAATTTGCCCGGAGTTTTTTTTGCCTCCCAATTCTAAGGCAACACAGTGAACACAATATCTGGGAAGTTGGCATATTCCAAAAGACATCCATTCTAAGCTCTCTCCTGAGATCTGTGCCTGGCAGATTTCACTGTCATTCCAGTTCAACTTCAAAATGTGTTTCTTGTCATCCTGGAAGTAAATAATACAGAACTCTCAAGAAATAGTCCCTCCTTGAAGGAATCAGAACCATTTCGCTGATATCCCATGCTTGCAACTTGTCAAAAATAGGTAACGTAAACCTTTCTTGCACTTACAAGAGATCAGGTAGGATGTCTTTTATATCTCCAATGTCTATGACTTAGATTTTCCCTTCCCTCCACGTTCATGCACATGACAGAATTTTGCAGGATATCTGCAGATTATCAAAACTATATACAATTTATATTTTAAAAATGTAAAAACTTCCCATATTGTGTTTTAGTTATATAATCAGTGGTTTCTAATAATTTTTTCCCATGAGGTGCCTTCTCTGTGTACAGAGAAGTATAGTACAGAATGTATATATTAGTACAAAATACATACATATATTACATATATGTACATATATACGTATATATATAGTACAGAATGTAGTGTATATATATAGTACAGAATGTCGATATTCAGCAGATATATGTAGATATATGAAAACATCATATAAAATTTAACGCTCTCCTCTGACACCTCCATAAAAACTAACGGCAGGAACTGAAATTTGGTAGGAGGAAACCAAGCAAAACAAAGGAAAAACGACAAAAAAAACCCCAGAACCAAAACAACTGAAACACCGCCAAGTAAACCATATGTGCTAGTTTTGGCAGAGTTAGGAGTTATTTTTCTTCACAGTAGCTGGAATGGGGCTGTGTTTAGGATCTGTGCTGGGAACAGCATAGGTAATTCAGGGATGTTTCAGTTATCACTGAGCAGTGATTACACAGAGCCAAGGTCTTTTCTGCTCCTCACCCCACCACCGTCAGGGGGGTGGGGGTGCACGATAAGCTGGGAGGGGACAGAGCCAGGACATTTGGTGTCATGCCCAGCATACAAAGCTGGGGGAAGGGGAGGGAAAGAGTGATGGTGTTCGTCTTCCCAAGTCACCATGGAGTGTGATGGAGCTGCCCTGGGGATGGCTGAGCACCTACCTGTCCTTGGGAAATGGTGAATCCCCTTGGAAAGTTTGGCTTTGCTTGTGCTCACGACCTTTGCTTTACTTATTAAACTGTCTTTATCTCAAGCCACAAGCTTTCTCACTTTCACTCTTCTAGTTCTCTCCCCATCCCACTGTGAGGGGAGGGAGGCAGTGGCTGTGAGGGGCTGAGCTGCTGGATGGGGCTAAAGCACGACTCCCTGCCAGGGAATTCTGACTTAACACAGTTTAATGTAACAAGTCAGACATATATTGAGACTACATTGAGTTAGAGACTTCTGATGATACTTCAAATACATTTACCCTTATCCTGATTCCTGCAGCATTCATTTTCCTTCCCAATCTTTGTCAATTAGAATTTGTGTTATGCTGAAGGCATAAGAACTCTGGAGTTTTGTATTTTCTTATCTTTGTTCATCTATTCTGGATGTCCCCTGAAACATATAAGCTGTTTTTATTACTTTTAATCCCTGCTCTCCACAGAATATTGTAGGAAGAAGGTATTTATCCTAATCAGTGTTATTGTAAAGTAGTCAGATAAAGAACTGTACAAATGGAAAAAAAGATCAGAGGTGATGCTTAAAAACAAAAACCTTCTCATAGAAATCAGAGGTATTTAAAAGGATTTCAGGGCCACAGCAGAGGTAAGACTACACAAAATAAGCAGTTGAGTTAACATGGAGCTCAAAAAGTAAATACAGAAATATGTACTGGAGGTCAGAAAAACGTTGCCTCTATACCAGCATGTGAATGAACCTCTTGGTGGTCTGTGGCATTCAGCTCTAATGTCCATGTTTAAAAAGTTACTGAAATTCCTAAACCTTAGCAAAAGTGCTACAATAATTGTTTTACATCATAAAGCAGCCTACATTTTGAAAAAGAAGAAAATAAATTCTAGTTCTGAACTTATTTAGCTGAACAAAGAAATGATGATACTGCACCACTTTCTCAAGGCTGTATAAGATTCATCATCAGTTCAGCTTTTTAATTCCAGACAATATTTTTTAGAATTAACAGAAGTTCAGAAATTGAAAGATGTTATTGGGCTACAAGCACCATTTACTGAAACTCTAGTTGTCTGTCATTTCTGTAGAAGTCATACAAGAAAGGTTTAATGATCTATTCTGACAACAACATTCTACAAGTCTACCCAGAACTAAATGTTAAAATTGTTGTTGCAGCTTTTCAAAGTATTACCACTCAATTTCACCAATATTCTTTAGTTCTTAATAAAAGCCTAAATAGCTTTCTTGTTTTGCAAAAGCAGTGAGGCTGGACTGTTAGCTCTGAAGAGCTTATTTTGAAGAGCTTCTGAAGTTCTCTCCAAATCTAACCACCCCATTCCTTTCAATATCTTCATCTCATGAAAATCTTTCTAAAACAGTAGGTCACCACCACCCTTCCCTATCCCCACACTTCTTTTCTGTTGAATTATACTGTAGGAGGACATCTAGAACAAGTGGCAATTTTCTAAGTCATAAAAGTGGTACTTTTGGTAATATTGTGTTTCCTTCTTTCTACATGACAGAAATACTTTCTCCTATTACCCAACAAGTACTAGTTCTTGTTTAACAAATAAACAGACTGCCTGCTGAACCTGAGCCTACCTTATTTTATGTTTTGTTTGGTTTTGTTGTGGGTTTTCGGTGGGTTTTTTTTGTTTGTATGCTTTTGTTTTGTTTCATTCTTTTTCATTTTGTTTTTTTGAAAAATGAGAAAGGTTTCCCTGGAGTCCAGTATGAACATGTGAACATTTTTTTCACCTTGCTGAGTCTATGTAACATCTGAGTGAATAATTTTCCCTAACAATCAGAGCAATAAATCTACAGACATGAGCTTTTCAGTGTTATTAGAGATGCTCAAAGGACTGTTGTCAATGTAACTGATGACACAAATTCAGAATTACCTTAAAACATCCATCAGACTGAAAACAAAGAGGAATGCTACCCTACTAATATTACTCTTAACCTGTTCAAGAAGGGGTTTTTTTTACTCTGTATTAAGTTTTGCTGCACAAATGCCATTTGTTGAAATAATCTGAGATCCACATGAGGCCACCAATATTGTAAATGACTAGAATATCCATGAAGTGATGACAGCTAAGAGCACTCAGGACTCAGTTACAGTTCCTTGTAAGGTATCAAAGGTGAGTTTATATTTAAGTATAGGTATTGAATTACTAATGTGAGTGGAAGGAGTTCCCCATGCTTTTTGTTCTCTGTTTTGCCTGTTTGAATTTTGTTGTTTGAGATTACTTTTATAGAGTATTAAAGCAAAAGATCTCACAGAAACTACTATCTGCAAATTCAGTTATATATCCCTTTCCCTTTCTTCTTAATTCAATATATTGCAAAGTCTGAATAGAAGAAGCCTAGGTCAAAATATATTCCTTCCTGACTTGTGAAATTACACCATAAGAAAGGGTAATTACATCCCCTATTCACGTCTTAGGAAAATCCTAAATTATTTTTCTCAAGGAGATCCCACATAAACTTAATCTTATACCCCTGTTTCTACATCTCTGAAATGTTTTCTTTAAATGTGGGCAGATGGCCTGGATTATTCCACAATGGGAAAGAGTTAGAAAATTTACATCTTAATCTACACTTCGAAATTATTTTTATACAGGATTTATTCACTCTGTTCCCTTTACAATGCAGTGTGTGTATACTGGTTCTCACAGACACCAGTTTCTGTGTTTCAGAACGCTGGTTCTCTCAGACAGCACTTGTGCTGTCATAAACAAAAGGTAAAACAAAATTTAAGCCTTTTTTTTTCAAGCAGAGAAATAGAAGCAGAGAGATACATTTGGATTATTTGGCCTTTTGCAACAAGCAAACTGTCTTAAAAATAAGACTCGTACTTATTGGATAAAATGTTTTGATGCTTAGAAGGACAATCAATTACTATAGAATTTCTTTAAATACTGAATAGCTTTAATGGAAGTTGGGAAAGTGCTAACCTTGAAACGATTTGCTCTCTTTCCACAGGCCCAAATCCTTAATCCTTGCAAGGGTAGCCAATTTGTCCATCATGATCAATAGGAACAGCAGCCTAGGCAATATCTCACAGGCAAAGAGCAGCAGAAAAGGAAAAGGGAGTGATATTTATATCCTTTTCTGAAAACTATTTTTTAAAAGTTCTTTGCTGAATCTTCTACTTCAAGTCAACAGTCTTTATTAAACAAAGACAAAGCACAGAATCTAACTTAGATCCTGCAAATGAGGAAGAAAAGAAAACTTGTTTACTTTAGAGCAGCAGACTACTTGGACCAACAAAAAGACATTAAAAGAAAAAATCAAAAAAAGATGGTGCCAAACTAATTCTGACTATGAAAAATTGTCTAAGCCACAAGAACTCATATGTTTGGATAAATATGTTACATCATAGGTAGCATATTCAGGCTGAAGTTTTCAGAGGTAACACAATTTCAGTGGAATTATCTTTTTCATTTCTTTAAAGATACTTTCCTTAAGCTATAGGTCAAGATTATTCCTACAAGATCACGAAGTCATATTTCTAGTAGAAGAATAAATCTGTGAATTCCCTTGATCACTTGGCAAATAGCTTTATCTTAATCTATACCAATGACATGGAGTAATAACAACAAATTTGAGTAAGTGTTATCAGAGAATATTTGGAGACCATTTTCTCAATATATGTTATCAATAAAAACGTAGTGTAAGTCATGTGCATCCTATTTTCCAAGGATGCTCAACAGAATGTAATCAAGATAGCATTTAGCAGCCAAGTCATTATAAATCTCTATGTCTAAGCTCCAAACCCACCCAGATGTTAGACAAAATATTTTTAAGACTCAAACTGAGGGTTAATATGCCATATTTTAGCTCACAACAGGTAAAATATCATTTACAAAGACAACTATGATGGTCAAGCAACCAAGGTTAAGTTAACTTGTTCTGAAGCCAAAACTGAACTGCATATCCCGCTTTTCTAAGGTTAGAGTCAAAGCTAAAATCACCTAATCCTGCTCAGAGAACGT